AACTTGAAAGCACTTATTCTAATGCCCTACTGTACGAAACAAAGCCGGTTTAGAGGAACACCACTGCAAATTAACTCTTATCAGCATGGTTTTAAAAACACATCACAACATCCACACCACGGGAGCTCCATCCTGCTCCATCCTGCTCCAGAACTCTGTTCAGGTACATTTCTGGGCAGGCTCCCGCAGCAGTTTGGAGGATTGTCATCCTTCTCCAATGGCTGAGGAAACCTCAAGAGAAGGGCTTGAGAGGCAGATGGGTGCCCAGGGGAAGGAGCAGGGGATGCTACCAGGCTGGTGGCAGCATGGACCAGCACGGAGAGCTTTGGAGAGGGTGAGCAGTGGAGCACACCCCACGGCACCTGGGAGTTACCCAGCAAGATCGATTTTGCACTGCTAATCGCTTCCTCCTTGCTCAGTTTATGCTTTGTAACACTAACCCAGATAGCCTGGGTAATGAGCCTGGAGAACTGCTTTCCAGGTCAGTGATGATTAAAGGGGCAGAGTTAGCACTGATAACAAACTGTTGCTCTGTTTCATAAATGATTATCAGCACTCAGGCATGACTAAACGGAACGCATCATTTTCTGCCTGTATGAAATGCGTTTGTGTTTTTGTTTTGTTTTGGTTTGGTTTTGGTCCATTTTATATAATCTCATTAGGTATGAGTTAACAGAATATTGTTTAAGGAAATCATATCTTGTTTTGGCAAATGGTTGGTTTAGCTGTATTAAAACCTTTCTATTACCCAGCATAATCTAATGTGTTTCATGTTTCCAAACTAAATATCGGCTAGGTAGAGATATGCGATCCACCTCATTCGATCTGTCAGTACACACACTACTTTTGACCACAGTTAATGGCATTAATGTCACTTGTTTCAGTCAAGTCTTACTGTAAAGCCCATGCCTAATCTATGACGTATATAGATAAACAGATTTACAGAGCAGTAGCTTAGATGGCACCTTATCTTTCAAGGTCACAGGTTACACGGCGAAGAATCCAACTTCAAGACACTTACATATGTACTTACCCCAGGTGTAATACACATTGATCTATATATTTATATGGCTTATAGACATACTCAAAATATCAATAAGGATAACTATCCATTAAACCACATTTACTATAAATCTTGTCCTATTTCTTCAGACCTTTGTCTGCTAGGGGGCACATCAAAAAATAAATAAATAAACAGGCACTACTTTTTTCTTCATTTTGCTTAAGCTTATCATGACTTTTTTTTCAAGAACTCAAATTAAAAACCGGAGAGAAAAAATTAAAGCTAATAACTCACACTGTTAGATAAATTAGGCTGCATCTAAAACATGTTTTATGGGAAACCACTACCTTACATATCCAATTTCACTCTGGATTGAACAAAAGCTGTTATTTCTTTCAGGTAACATGATCCTATGTGCCATGAAATATAACACGTGGACATAGCACAACTTCTATCAGACTATACTGGGGCTCATGAATACAGCGGCCTTCAATCAGTGAGCTGCTTACAAGACAGAAAAAAAAATGAGATTAACAAATAACTATGAGATAATGCAAATAGTGCATCTTGGAAGACATTTCTATCATTTGTATGTTAATGAACACCTGCCTTCAGAGCTGTATTTTAAATGGACATTTGCAGCAACCTAAATTAACAAGAAGGAAAAGAAGCTAATTTTGTGGCTATCTTCATATAGCATCATAGACCAAGGAACTACAACTCAATTTTCTAAACCAGTTTAAAAACTCTAATACAACAAATTTCCTCGTTAAAAATAAAGAAATAAGCCAGCATGTATAAGCTGAAGCCATTTTACAAGCTCTTAAAGACTGTGCTATGGGCTAGATCTTAGATTAATGTTTGTGATGCACACTGAAAACCTGTAAAGCATTTATGTAATTGCTAAGCATTATTATTTTTATTACTGTAACAGATGGAACCAATCCATCTTTGTAGATAATATCTCATAAATGATTCATTACTATTCCTTTAACCTAAAGTCTTTTGTATTTTGCAGATCCATGAGAAATAACTATTAGGGAGCTCTGTGCATAACAGTATGAAAACTACCTAATGTCTTCCAAATTCAGTAGCCTTGCTAGCATTTGGGCCTTATAATTTTTACATTGTTCCTATTCCTCTCAGAACCTGTTACTTCTGCATGATTTTCCTCTTTATTTTCCATCGCTGGTTTTCAGGTGATGTAAAATATCACTGCAAGCTACTGGTAATGCTAATAGCTTATATGGCTGCCATTAATTGCAAATATAGACTAGACAAATGCTTTATAAGAGATAGAAGTATCTCCCACAAATGCATGACACAGTTTTATAATGCAGCATCTTGGCTTCAATTGATAATGAAAAAGAGTTATGTGATCGTACTGTCCATCTTTCCTTTGTCCAATAACTTTTTGACCAATTTTAATCAAATTTGAAAGCCAGGTAGACATCTCACAGATATGAGTTTCTATCAGCTTAATGAAAACTGATGGCTGGAAGAGAAAAGAAATACACAAATTAGTACTGTCACTGGTAAAAAGGCTTAAATGGGAGCTCATCACTCATCCCCTATGCCTGGCCTGCCTCTGGCCATTCAGACAATGTTAGTCCAGAATCAGACACAGCAAATGCCATCTACTGCCCACCATACAGCTGACAGACAGAGCACTGACAGTATCTTCAAAGAAAAGCTTGTCAAAAATGTATTACAGGCTGACGGAAGCAAAGTAACCATAATAATATCAGTGACTGATGAACACCACAATGTTTAAACTGAAGAAAAAAAAAAAAGTATTCACTTACAAAAAAGAGCATTTTCTTGATTGTAAGAAAAAAATGGCAGAGAGAGAATATAAATCCAGCACACCTAGCTTATTATTTTGATACTGACCCGGGGAACATCATTAGCAAACAGTTCCCAGAGCCTAGGAGTTTAACTGCTGTGTCTGTAGGCTTACAAAGAGCCTGCGGGTCTCCCCTGTTTCTATGGGATTATTTGGGTTATTTCGGTCTGCTCTTTACACACACACCAATTAGCCACCTTCAGTAGACTTCAGTGTAATGGTAAAAGCTAATGGAAAGTGAGGAGCCATTGTAAGGTATCTGAAATCTTTATGGGTCTTATCAATGAAGAAACAGACTGCTTTCTCCATACAGACCTTGGGGTTGGACTACAAACAAAAGGATTTACGTTATTCTTCAGGCTGACCAAAGACTGAATTGCTTCCCTTCCTCTTGGCTCAGCTCATCACTCTCTACATTACAGCACGAGGAGATTTCACAGGCAACCTGCTCCTCTACACTGGGTCTGGGCTAGCAGAATTCTTCCCTGCCCTGCTGAAGCCATAGCAGAGGAGGTTGTGCTGGGGAATAATATTAAACTTCCAGGCATTGAAACTTCCTGCTCAAGCCACCTCTTGCAAAGGTGCTTTATTCATCATCAATACTTACTTACTTCAGCTGGAAAATGTGTTAGGCGGCTGCAATACTGGATCTTTGCCATCAGCCCTTTTGACACTGGGTCTCTTCTAAAGAGTTCATCGGAAGTTACCATTCCCCCCCAGGAAACCACATAAAAACATTTCTTGGACAAATGAAGCTATCTTTGACTTGAAAAGTCTCCTGTGATCTCAACCATTCCAATCACAACTAGTTTCAAACTCAGTTTTGACTCACAAAATAGTAAGTTGCCTTGAAAGTTTCCCCTTAAAATCTAAATTCGACTAAAAATTTCATGCAAATGCATGTAAAAACACAGTTTGCAGTACCCAAAAAAGGAAAGTCAAATGTAGAATAACATGTTTTCTAAGCAGCTTCAAGTTGAAAATCAAAAAGAAAGAGCGTGGAGCCAGATTCTGCTCTGGTGGAGAATGACAAGCGGAGTGGGGAAGCACAACTCCCAGTCTTGCTGCCTGGGGTGATGACACCCTCGTAAAAATCCCTCACCAAGGGGAACCCTCATCACATAAAAGACATGTCCCACATAAAACCAGCCACAGGTTTGTTCTTTTTGCTAATAGCTCAGCTAAATACTGATGAGCAACCTTGTACTCCACTGTGAAGTGTATTCACTTAAATAAAAGGACATTGCTGTACACAGGAGAACAAGAGTTGATTTAATTCAAGAAAATCCCTCTAATACACACCATTTTGAAAATCCTCTTACAAGTAGTACCGTAGAACTTTTAACAACGTAGGTTTGCAAGCTGCTAAAATAAGTCATGCTTATGAGAAGATGTGCAAGCAAAACTCTTTTTTTTCCTTAGACGTTTTCACGTGTACTCAGCTGTTCTTGCAAAGACACCAGTGGCTCTGTCACCCCTTTGCCCTCTCAGTATATACATTTTAATTGTGTTACCTACTTAATTCATTAGCTTTAATGTGGTATTTTTAAATACAATTACCAGCTGTTCAACATAACAAGGTTTCATTTACAATTTTCTAATGACCATGAGGGTTGACAGAAAAGAAAAATCCCTGCTTTAAAATATACTTTATTTTATACGAAGGGAGAGAGAACAGCAAGCATTCATCTGAAGTGACTGGTTAGGATGACAGTTTCACAGTGAAATATATTTTCATTTCAAGATCCCCACAGCTACTTTGAATTTAATTGCATGAAAGACCACCGAGATTTCTTTCTCAAACATATCAAAAGCATATCACCAAAGAAACAACTATTACATGGAGAAAATCAATCTTTACTTTCTAATATATTGAAATGCTTTAAAAGGAACCAAAAAGTAAAAAATTACAGGAAGCATGACTTTTAAGTGTGTGCAGAAGGGGGTTATACATTTTGATAGATCAAAAAGTTAACCAATTAAGCTATTAGCAGGGCACAAGGCTGTACATGAACAATGGGCTTCTAATCCAAGGGGAAAGGGACAAGTGGGCACAATTGGCACACAGGTCTCGAACCCTTTTTCAGTATCAGTGGGGAGCAGATATGAGGCTTGAAAGCATACAACCAAAAGTAGAAAACACTGTCCTACCTTCTGGGAGCTGGGCACGTGGAAATGGGGGTCACCGGGCGTAAAGAAATGTTGCAACTGCTAACAGCCATAAGCAGCAGTTCCATTTTGCAGGTAAATTGCAGAATGTTCTGAAATGAGAAAATACACTCTGTGTAAAAAAATAAAGATAGAAGATTACAAATGAATTTTGCAAACTTTAATACAGATTTTTTTTCACCTGCTTGGTGACGTTACAAGAAATTGAATATTTTATAACTAGGCAGAAAAGAATGGATGAACAAATGGCAAAGCTTTAGTTTCTAGATAGGTAAAATGGGTTTGTTTCATAGATAACCTACACTGGAGAAAACGTGTTAAATTAGAAATGCTGAACTAGGGGGAAGTAAACAAAAGTTACTAAATTGTGCTACTCTAACACTTCCCATTCTGAGAGAACGCATGAATCATAGATAAGGCTGAATATTTGTCACAGCTGTGATTTCAGCATCAAAAAGAAATAATTTTAGCCCAGATTCTGGGGGAATTTCCAGAAAATTTGTCAGTTCAGCCAACCGGATACAAGACTTCTCTGTGATCTTCCGCAAGTTTAGCTTTCTTTGGGTTTGAACCCACAAAGCAAGAAGCACTCACTTTTGAAACCACGGCGATGACTAACGTGGTTGAGTGTCTTGGTGTCTTGTTGGATGAGGCCAAAGCAGGCAGCACGCTGGGATATCAAGCTGCACTTCGATGGGTTTTAAGTGCTTTTAAGCTGATGTGAGCACTGAATATTTTTAATTTGAAAAACAAAGAAGCGTCAGTAATACGAAGATGCGAAAATGCTGAACCACAGTTTTGCACTTTTTGTAATAAAAATAAAAAAAAAAAAAAAGATGCCCTTATGTTTTCTGCTCTGATAAAGCAGAGTGTTTTTATTCTTGGCAATGACAAAACTCAAGTTCCACCCGCAGTCCTGACTCACTGCGAGCGTATGGTAGGGGAAGTGGCCTAGCTTCATAAGCCTGCATTAAAAGCTATAGCTGGCAGCAAAAATGCATAGTTTATATTCCAAAAACAAAGATTCTGGAGTAAACAAAGTATTTGCGAGTTCAGATTGAATTTTATAGCAGAGCAGAGGAGACCTGAAACTTGGAAAGTATTTAAAAGCTCAAACCAAAATATTTTATGTGAAACAAAATATTGCATTCAATTCTAACTTAATTGTGTCTACATTTTCAGTTTAGGCACTGAACTGAAAAAATGCCGACAATTCTGACTTAAAAAAAAAAAAAAAAAAAAACAGACCTGTATATCAGTGTTCTTACAAAACCTGCCAAAACATTGACGCATGCACAGCTTTAACCCTCACGAGTTCAGTTAGATTTTCTGTACTTATTTAGACAATTAGCCAATGAAGAAAAATGTATTTTTGCAGATTTTCTTTACCACCACAAATTATAAAATGGCTTTAATAGACTCTAAAACGTTAGGAGTGCTATTTTCAATTGCAGTTAAGTCAATCTAAAAGCTCGCTGCAACTGGAAGGTGTCGTCCTGCTGGCTTCCCTCCTTTGCACACCCTCTGCTTCTCCCCTCCCGGTGTTGGCGTTGGTCTCACTTTGTGGTGAATCAGTTCAGAAAAGGAGATAGCAGAGAACCAGCTCCACAAAAAGCACCAAGTGCTCTTCTGCCAATTTAGTCCCTGAATCAGCTCACCACAGGGCAAATGACCCACGGAGCCTGCAGCAGGATCACACGGCTAGGGGAACTGGAGAAAAGAAAGGATGACTATTATATTATTATTTTTTCTCTGCTAAGTTTTGGATTGTCTTAGCTCTAATGTAAAACCTTACTAAATTCTGGAAGCCCTTGGATTAAGAGTAGTGTGTTATTTGTACCTTCTGGGCTGAGCTCACTCCTTTCAGATACAAATAATGTATTCTTAAACCCACTTATAGAAGGAAAAAAAATTAAACTTTTAAACAAAAAAAGTCTATTTAAACAATTAAAAGGATGTGCACGCAGTCGTAGCATCTGAGAAATGGAGGCTGTGTATTTTTTGCACAGTTCACAGTTGTTCTTTCTCTGCCAGCCTCTTCCTATTGTGCCAAAACTCTTGGGGACCCGCGCGTGCGATGCGCTGTGCGTTATTGAGCGAGGAACCCACGGCCTCGGTGTGGGTCCCACCTGGCAGCGTGGAGATGTCCCCAGCTGCCATCCTCAGGGCAAACTGCTCAGGGACGGGATGTGCTTTAAACACCCGACATCCCACAGGATGATTTGCAGGCGTATCACTGGGGATTGATCCGTCAGCTGCTTCGCAGCTTCTGTTTAGCAAATATAATTTTTTCCCGTGGAAATCCTGCCTAACTGGTTGAAAGGGAATTTTCCATTCCTCTGTACCAGCCGCAGCAAAACCCAAACCCAAAGCGTGGCTGCAGTTAGCTAAAGCTGACCCGAGGCCCCCCTGGTGCCTCGACCCCTCCTTTTCACCTCCAGCCTCACTCCCCGATCGCAGAGGCGATTCCGGATCAGGACCAAGAGCTTGGCTCTGATAAGCTCAGTGTGAAGAAGAGAGAAAAAAAAACAGTGCTGGGGCACGGATCTGTGCTGAGAGAGTGCAGGCGGGAGGACGGGGCCGGCCCTTTCGGCAGGCTCAGGCGGCAGCTTCGGCAGGAGCTGGCCCGAGGCAAGAACGCTCGCGGGAAATCTGCCGCCCGAAATAGGCGCCGCTCTTCTACACCTCCTACTGAACAGTGGGTATGAGCCGTGAATATAGACTCTGGAAACTGATTCAGAAGAGAGCTGAGGAATGTATCAAAAAGTCCATATGGTTTTGCCAAATCAAGTATGCAGAACTGGGTAAATTTAGCCATGCGCTTAAGAGCTAAAATTTGTCTTGTTTGACCCAACTGGAAGGAACATAGTCATGAGGCGCTCACACACACACCGATCTGCCTAGTTCCTCATCTCGCTAAGGTCAGAAACGGCTGAGTAACACATCACTTCATGTGTGGAAACAAAAGGACACCTCTGCTATCAGAGAAGCGCGGTGGAACACAAAAGCAGCGCCCAGCCAGGTCTCAGTAGCGCTGTTTTCTGTTCCGCATTTAGGTAGCGAGATTGCAAGTGACAAGCGGTTGGCACTTCGACAGCTGGGCCCACGTTTCCAAGTTTGCCTCCTGGAGCTCAGAAGACTGAGAGCTTTGTTTTAAACGCAGGCTGAAATCCTGTACTAAGACAGGACCTGGAGGCCGATGACCACGTTCATCGTGGGGCAGCTGAGCCCAGCACCACCCAGGAGCACCGTGGGGCTTGTGGCCAAATTCCCCTTTGGTCCCAAATGCCGTGACTCCAAGCCACAGGTTTGGACACTGCATCTCACCCACTGGCCGTTCAGGCCAACCTGCAGCACACAATGCAACCAGCAGACAAAAATTGCCCTATACAAAATGTAACTGGGGCATCTATTCCCTGCCATTGCTTGGCGGATCAAAGCAGCGCAGAGTAATCGAGCAGCACACACCACAAAGTACCCCAAACCCACACAGCAGCACAAGCTGCGCCTGGAAAAGTGAAGGTTATGGTACTGATACTAGAAGATAAGCATGCAAAAGGTGATTATTTATGTAACTGAATACAAAACTAGGCTATACCCATGCTTTTTTAATAGGCAATATATGTAAGAATAGATTGAAATGTTAGAGAAACGAGTGGAAGTACTTTGGTGGTAGAACTCTCATTTATCTAGATTATTATTATTATTATTGATATTATTATTATTAAGATTTAAAGCTCATTTTAACCCAGCCCCTTTAATATACACAAACACTTATGATCCATGCAGCTGAAATGTTCAGGACCTCATTCCATGAACACTAAAATCCCGCAGGAACCTGCAGGTGAATCCTGGCAGTGATCGAGAAGTTAGCTGCACCTTCCAAGTCCTCCCCAAGTTAAAAAACAGTAATGGTTTTCAAAAATATTAGCCTATGGTTATAAAACTTTCATCATCCTCTTTTCTCTCCTGAACCTTTAATTAAGTCTCCACAGTGCTGTGAAGCAGCAGCAGCCTAATGGGTTCAGAGGATTTTCTTACAAGCAAACTGTTCAAAGCACACAGGCGCCCTGTGAGTTGCAGTCTTTGAACACAAGCTTCTTAAGTAGTCCCTTTTATTTTTATTTATTTTTGAAAATACCAGACTCCAATGCTCTCCAACCAATGATGCTACTATCAGTACTAAAAAAAAAAAAATGCATAGCTCTTTGGATTATTTTCCTGTTTCTGTGATGAATACATACATAACATTGCAGGATCTCCCATATGAAGTGTTTACAGTCCCAGAAGGAAGCATGACAATGGTTTTCATCAGAAGCTCTTAAACAAAGATCTTTAACAGATAGAGAACCTGAGACTCGGGCAGATACAGTGCCTGAAGTCACCCAAAGAGGTGTTACAACCTGGGTTTCAGCTGTGCTGGTGTTTTGCTCTTATGACTTTGGGGCAATCCAGAGCAAATCCACTATGCTGGAACTTCAAGAAAGACTTCATTGTATCAGAGTTTTATTTGCCAGCACCTAAAAAAATACACCTTGGGAAGCTCAGTGAGAAGGACAGAGTGCAGCAGCCACAGCAGCCTGGGTGTACCTGTCCTGTCTAGGAGTGGCTGCAGCACTTTTCCTCCTGACTTGGGGGGAAAATAAAGTGCTGATGAAAGAAGTGGACTGTAGGTCTTTGCTTCACTGGTTGATCCAATGGTGTGAAAACTACAACTCTGCTATGTAAGATGTATTTTATTCACTGTTAGTAGAGTGGTGCTTCAATTTTTCTGGTAGTTTTCTACAAATCTGCACTTATTCTGCCTGTTTTGCCATGCTTACTTCAGATTCCCATGGTACACGAATACAGCAGTGAAAGCAGAGCCTGCTGTGAATGCAAGACACATTTTCCCACAGAATTGTTTGAAATATAATTCGGGGCTTGGTTTGCTAAACATTTGTTTTCTCCACATTTTGATATTTGGAAAGAAAATAGATAGTTCATACTTAGTAAAACATTCATTGCAGAACAAAATAACCAACAGCCCCTTTAATCTGCTGTTCAGAAATCTGCAATACTGTATCTCTATAAATACATTTCTGCTTGCTCT